TTGCTTCCAGCTTAATTTGCAAACAACTTGGAGTTGAAGAGGTGAGGTTGGGAGAGGCAAGCAGTTAGTTCCAAAGCATGTATGAGCTCACAGTTCACAGAGATAGAAAGAGCCCTCAAACAGGGGGAGACAGTAATACAAACGTCTTTGGGGTCTGTGTCATTATTATTCAAATTCTGAATAACTTAGATTCCTTTTTCAGAGCTCTGAATTTTGATATTTGAATGAAGTCCAAAACTTACTTTCCCTGGCCATTTCTGCACCTCCACCTCTCCTTACCCTCTGTAAAGAGGAAACAGTCATGGTGGTAGCCTGTGTCACGTTACTCATAACAGCCCCTACTTTTCTGTTACTCTGTGATGCTAATTTCCGCATTGACACACCCCTTTGGACATCATATGGAATTTGAGGCAATATAGTTTATGTTTTCTTTAAGCAGCCATTTTGGCCCTTGGTGTAGAAAGTCCTGGGGTTTTTGTTCAAGGGAAGTAGAATTCTTCCACTTTACAAAACATACACAGACTGAATGTTTTTAAATTCGGGTCTATTAATTCTAAATATTTCATTCAATAAAGGTCTGCAGATAAAGTGGAAGGGTTTTGATTCATGTTTCTAAAGATTTACTCAAATACACATCTTCATGTGTAGTTTTGTTTCTTTGCCTTGTTCATGGTGAAACCTCAGGTTTTAAGTGAAAGTTGATCCAGTAGATAATCTAAGATGTAGGTTCTTATTTTGATAATCTTGAAATCTTTCCAAATTTCCATTTATTCCTTCATTCTTTCAAAATTGACTCCCTTCACTTGAAAATACCTTCCTCTCTGAGGATGATCTTTCAAACTGTCCTGCTAAGGAATACTGTTTCCACCTAGCACCTTGCACCAAGAATTCCTGTAGGGTGGGCTAAGGTCAAGAGGAAACAGATGATGTGCAAGATAAATGTCCAAAGGCCTCATCCTCTAGGGCAACTGCTAACATTGCAATGAGAACAGATTGAGCATGTGTGGCTCTGGCTGCACACCCTAGTGGGAGGGGATTTGTGGAGGCAATTCCTTCTGTGCAGCATTATAAACACAGCCTATTATCTCTTGACTTTCCTATTCCTAGTTCTTTTTTCTCTCTAATGAATGATTCATGTATTAATAATGGTAAAAATAATACTTTGCAATTATAGTATGCTCTTTTTCTCTCCAGGGTGCTCAGTGGACATTAAGTACATAATCATTTTTTCATTCAGACTGTCCTGGGGGGCAGTTGGGAGGCTTGCTGCTGGGGATGTCAGCTTTATATTATCCTTGTTCTGAAAACACACATTTTTGTGCAAATGCCAATTTTCTGCATTCTTTAGGAGAAGGCCACAAAGATGGTTCTGAATTGTGAGAACTAAGAAGCTGCAGCGACGTGCATTGTTCAAGGTCATGAGCTCCTGGAATGTTCAGGTTGATGAGAACAGGGATGGATTCATTCAGGCTCCATACTCTGCTGTTTAACCTGCATGTGTTAGAGTGCTTTAGGCCTCAGTTCAGGACTTCTCTCTTTCCATTCTATATTTCTAATTTTATGATCCACAAGGCCACACTACCAAAGATTTAAGTGCTGTTTCTTCGTTGGCCATTATTAGGTATTCTTGAGTTTTCACTTCTGTTATGACTCCTGCCTTAGCTTCCTGATTAACATCTCTCCTTGGATATCTATTAGACATCTGTGAGTTAACCCCCCACCACTCCCACATCTTGGTGTCCCTCTCTTGACCTTTCCCATGTTAGGAAAGGTGTTGCTGTGAACGTTTCTGACTCCTCCCTCCACTCATTTTAAACTAACTCAAAGGTGATGGTGTTAGGAGATGAAGCCTTTCGAAGGTACCTTCAGGCAGGAAAGGATCTGCTTTACTCTTCCCTTTACATGAGGACACAAGAAGACTTTCACTTTTTACAGATGATGAAATGAGCCCTTACCACACACCAAAGCCACTGGGACTTGAGTGACATCCTCAGCCCTCAGTAAGATGAAGGAGTGCTCTATGTAGTTAATAACCTACCAGCTTCCAGCATTTTGTTGCAACAACAAATGACTCAAACAGACAGACCCGAAAGTCTGTCTCATTGAGGTGTCTCCTCTCTCTTCCCTTTCCCTCACTCCCCTGACATTTATCCAAGTTCACGGGTTGTACTTCCAGCTCAGTTGACCACCACCCTCTTCTTCTGGACTAATCAGCTATCTTGTAACTGTTCTCTCTGATCAGTTCTTCCCATTCAGTAATGCATTTCCATAGGAGCTACAGTAAAAGTGATGTATGATGTTTTCTTTACAAAGTTACTCTCAAAATACTGTTGCCGTCATATTTGATGTTTATAGAACATAGGAAAACATTGCCTCCAGTGACTGCCAAGCCCTCCATAGTCTTTCTAAGCTCAACTTCCCCCACTCTGCCCCTTGTTCACTGCACACAACTCACCTGGCGACATCTGTATTCCCACAACAAATCCACTGACTTTTCCCTACTCCTTCAGCTGTGATCTCCTCTTCCATGTCATTTTTGTGATGGTTCCTTTAAGACTAAAAATTCACCCACATCACAGAGCCAGAGTGCTTCCTTCATTTGGGTTATTCCCATCTGATTATTCTGTCATGTCTGCCTCCTTTGAGATCCCATGTGTAGAGAAATTTTGGGTCTCAATTTTCTTTCCACTTTTATTTTCTCAAAAAAGGGGTGACTTGTCATAGATGACTACCAAATACTAATACTGAATGAGTAAGCGAGTAAGATAATGGTGAGTAGGCCTGTGTCCTAATATAGGACACTGACCTCATTCTGCTTTTGTTCTGACAGCATCTTATGTGAAGTGCGACTAGAACAGAGTGGTTAGAAGCCAGGAAAACAGTTCGAAGACTATTATAAGCTAAGCTGACAAGAGACAAGGACTTGGGTCCTCACTGCATTCAAAGTCACAAAAAGGAAAATAAGAGGCATCTAGGAGGCAATATCAATAATTTCTGGCATGACAGAGTGAGGAAAGACTCGATCCAGTTTTCTAAATGAGAATTTGAATAGACAATTAATTGCCTAACTTTGAAAATCATGGGAAAGACTAAACATAAGGCTTGCAGTGGATAAAATCTGGGGGAATATGACTAGACTATAATGTCTCTTTTTCCTTTATATTGGCTTCTGCTCACAGACATGGCCCTAGTGGTTATATTATTCACATAACATGGGTCCTTACTGATAGACAATTGTGTCTGGAATGGCCATTTAATCCAAATTGAGCCAATTAAACTTCGTTTTTTGAGAATTTGGAATTGGATCTGATTAATGGTTTGTCAGTGTCTGGGTATGGGTAGGACAGAGGCAACATAAATTCTCAAATGGTGGGACTGTGCCCCCTATTAAGCAACACAGGACATCAGTTTAAATAACAAAAGAGTAAAAGTCAGAGAGGTAGAGGAATGCAGTACCCATTCAATTTGTACATAAAGTAGTTCAGAAGCCAGTTTTTTTTGGTATCCCAGAAGTATTGCAGATTCTACTATGCTTTGGCCAACTTATTTATAGTTAATTAACTTGTTTTTAAAAATAGATCAATAAAAATATGATAAATATCAATTTATATATACGCACAGTATATAAATAAAACTCTCCACAGAGTTTCTGTCTTTCTTCAATAAGTGATTAAAACAGTTATCTCCTCTTGTCTTAGTGTTTGGATCAAGGGAAAAGTAGTTACTGAGACCATATACCCCAGGCAGTAATGCTCACTGAAGAGACTTCACTGGTCCCTGCTGCAGAAAGGAAAAGAAGCTGGGTGGCACCTGAAAAGTCGGACTGCTTGAATTTAATAATGACATAATGTGCAAGATGTCACAAGGAAGTGTTGTCACTGATTAATTGCCGAACAGTTCAGACAATAATGCTGCTTGGGTTCAGAGGCTGAAGACAGCCGAGGGCTGGGCAGAGAGCTAAACTTCAATAAGAACTGAGGATAGAGGCTAGAGCTTGAAGAATGGTTCGGACGCGCACATGGGGGCAGGAGCACAGACATCCTCCTTGTGGACACTGCTATGAGCAAAGGCATCAGGCAGATGGGTATACAAAAAGCCCATCACTCAATACCTTCATCTGAGGCCAGTGCTGGCTGAATACAAATGACAACAAACAATTCCTCATTTTCAGAAAATAATTGAACATTTTTCTCTCAAAGAAGAAAAGTTCTCTGGATCCTATTTTTAAAAAAAGTTTCTTTCTTATCAATCTATTTTCTACTTATCTGCTTTTAAATTCAGTGTAGCCAAGGAGAACTTAGGGTAATGTCAGTGACCAGTGGCATTGGCCCAAGTAGCCAAGTGGATCTCAGAAATTTTGCTGCTATTGTAGCCCGTGAAACCAGAAAAGTCCCCTTAAGAAAAGTGTGGATGCTTGAAAATGAGCTGCATTCTATGTGGCAGGATTGGACAGCCTGGCCAAGGAAAGTATGAGCAGAGAAATTATAGATCAGCCACAGCCAGGGTGAAGGGATAGAGAATGTGAGCCATGTGGAGTATATCAAGGCCAGGAGGCTAAATCTGCACTGGCCTGGGACTGACCCTGAGAGAAGGATGCCTCAGAAGCCAAGCCCAGCTCAGCTCCAGACACATATGTAAGCAATACCACCCCCAAGCTGCCCCTCCACATTCAGGGTCAGGACTCTCCTAACACGATGCAGATGCAAAGTCTCCACTCGCTCAGCCAGGACTTGCCAGTTTGGGCTTCAGATTCCTCTTTTGAAACATGGAATATTTCATAGTGAATATTTTAAGACTGCAATTTTAGAGCAAACAAATTCCAAATCCTGATCTACTGTCGGAAAGTAGTAACATTACAAAAGAAGATGCTCCATGAAAATGACTCCAAATTCCACCCCCCATGTGTGCACATCTCCTTTTTTTTTTAACTTTATGATTTCTAATTACTCTCCAGATAGACATTTCCGTTACAAATATTAGGTGCATTTATTCAAAGTTACCTTTTGTGTAGAAACATCTGATTTGTCAGCATTTGCCTCATTTCGGGCACTGGGGTCATATTCTCTAGGCGCTTACACCACACAACTGTCCATGTCTTATCCAGACAGCAGCCTCACTGTTTCCATAGAAATCTAGGTCAAGGCAAAATGTTAAAATCTTGGCATGCAAGAAGGGGGAGAAAAGGCAAGAGAGCAAGCAGCTGGAGTTCCATTTCGGCGATCCTACACTATACATGGCAGGCCAGAGCTGACTCCACACGGCCACTGCTCACTACCACAGATGCAGTGTTTGAAAAGCATGCCGTCAGCTACAACGTCCAAATCAGAGTCACTGTCCCCGGATGCTGTCAGTCCTTCCTTCTCCTCTTTTCCCACTTGCACATGAAAACGGAACAAGTACAAAGTCAGGCACAGCTTATTAGCACGTAAAAATCAATGAAGCTGCAAAGTCTGTTCTGTACAATGAGAAATTAATACATGCTAATTAATTTTGAACCTTAATTAATTTATGTTTGCAAAGCACTTTGAGATTAACGGATGTGAGTTGGCAGAAATGTATTTGGGTATTGGTCTATAATATTCTTCTAGCATTTTGAGTTCAGGTGGTACACAATAATTTTACTAACTTAAATAATAGCAAATACTTTCAGTAAAATAAACCCAGGTCTCTTAGACCCACTTATAAATTTCATTTATTTATTTATTTATTTATTTATTTAGATGTATGTATGTATCAGTATTTGTCTGAATGTATGTTGGTGCACCATGTGTATGCAGTGCCCATGGAGGCCACAGTAGGCATCAGATTTCCTGGAGATGGAGTGTCAGATAGTTGTGAGCACCCAAGTATGTGCTGGGAATTGAACCTGCATCTTCCGTAAGACAGCCAGTGCTCTTAACCACTGAGCTATCTCTCTAGCCCCTGATTATAAATTGCTGAACATCAATTTGCATTCTGCAGAACACATCCATTGTAGAGTGGTCAGAAAGCTTAGGGAATTCTATTGTGCCCAAATGAGAAAAAAATATCTAAGTGCTCTGGAAATGAGGAGAAGTGTAGCAAATCACTCCAAATCATCCTCTTGCCTGATTCTAGTATGTATTTTTGCTTAAACTAAAGTACATCCTTATTTTTTCACCTAATACCCAGTTTCTTCCCTGCATGCCTTTGCTTGGCTTTCCCTACCTTCAAGGGTAGCCTTAGTCCCATTTCTCACTAGATAAGTGCTGCCCACTGAATAATTTCCTACAAAGTCACGTTTCCACAAAGCATCCCCCAACTCCAAATTTAGAATTCATCAACTTATTAAAGTCCTTTGACTCTTTATTCATAAATGCAGTCTACACAGCAGGGGCCTATGGTCATACCGAAATGATTTTTTGTGACATAAAATAAAGTTGGGCTGGAGAAATTACTCGGAGGTTTAAAGCACTTTCTGCTCCTGCAGAGAAGTCTCTGGGTCAGATCCCACAACCATATGCCAGGTCACACCTGTCCATGACTCTACTACCAGGGAACTCGGTGTCTTCTTTTCACCTCTGGAGGCACCAAACAAAAAACCAAACCCAAACAACAACAAACAGCAATATCTACTTTTTGCTTATGGATGGTCAATTAGGAAGTGGAAGTAATTTGCTAAAGAAAAACCAGCTTGTCTTTGACCCATGTTTTCAGGGATGGAGCATTGACTAACTCTGCTGATTAGTTTGTATCAGGCTGACACAAATGTAGACATATCTGGGACAAGAGAGTCACACTTGAGGAATTGCCTTCACCGGACTGGACTATAGGGCATGTTTGTGGGGCATTTTCTTGATTGATAACTTACTGTAGATCAGCCCATCCCTGGGCAGGTAGATCCAGACAGTATAAGAAAGATAGTTCAACAACCAGAAGTAGCAAGCCAGTAAGTAGCGCTGTTCCATGGTCTCTGCTTCAGTTCCTGCCTCCAGGATCCTGCCTTGATCTCCTGCGATAGTTTCCTTTACTAAATGAGTTTAACCTGTAAGCTGTAGAAAATCCTTTCCTCCCCAAGTTGTTTATAGAATGTGTTGAATCCCAGCAACAAGGAGACAACCTAGAACGCCAACTACAAAGAACAGAATTGAACTATGGATTCTCTAAGTTCGCCTTCTGTGACTTCAGAAATGGTAAGGTCTTTCCCCTTGAAGGGCCCACTCTCTTCTCCTTCCTTCCTTTCCCAATATTTTGTGTTCTATTTAATAAAAGTAGCTAAAAAATCCCCCTTTTAAATGAAGATAATTATGAGGATTACTGAAACCACTGTTGTCCTAGTGACGTTATTTCTATCCTTGAGGTGTCATCTGAAGTTACTTCCTGTATCCCTGAAACCACTATGCATAGAAACATAGCTTAGGAAGTAGACGTGTGAAACTGGCTGTCTCTTGCTAGATCAAGAGAAATGGCAAGTGGAGTTTCTCTTTCATTGTTGTCCTGAATTTTTTTATTTCAGTGATTAAAATTTGCTCCTGTAACATATGGTCATTAGACACTGTTATGCAGAAAAGCAGCAGTTTCCAAAGGAGGAAATTAATACTTTCTTCTTCCTGTATCCATGAGTAGCCTTTTCTCTTTCTAAAAATATCCCTGGTATCCCTTTTCCTTCCTATGAGGACACCTGTCTTGTTATAGTAGGGTCCAAGCCTATTGCCTTGATTGATTGATTGATTGATTGATTGATTGACTGACTGATTTTGGTTTTTCAAGACAGGGTTTCTCTGTGTAGCTTTGCACCTTTTCTGGAACTCACTTTGTAGACCAGACTGGCCTTGAACTCACAGAGATTCGCCTGCCTCTGCCACCGGACTGCTGGGATTAAAAGCATGCACCACCACTGCCCGGCTGGCCTTTATTTTTAATTCACCACTTTTCTGTAGATCTTATCTTCATCAAACATTCATATGAATAGAACCCATTCAAAAGATCTCATTTAAAGTCTCTGCCTCCAAATATGCTTACAGTCTAGATGTGTGGGTTTTGGCTTCAACATATGAACTTTGGAGGAATGACAGTTTTACCATAACTACACCAATACAATGTCTGCAAATAATTAAATTGTGTGGGTAATGTCCATAATGAATCATGTATAAATGACATTTCTTTTTTAAGTGAAGAAACTGCTTAATTTAAGAAACTAATATTTCCTGACCTTTCTTTTTGGCTCTCATCTCCAACCTTTTTTATTTCCTCCTTTGAATTCTCCTACTCTCCTGTCTCCATCTTCTCTCTCACTGCATAGATTCAGCTAAAGTAACAGTAAATGTAAAATACAGGAAACGACACAGCCCACCTAACAGATGTGAGGAAACAGACACACAGAAGCGCTCGGAGGCTTGAAGTGCTTCATTCTAGATTACTCAGGGCATCTCCAGTGAGATGCTGCTGAGCGGTAGGAAGGGAGAGCAAGGGAAACACGGTGATTCAGGATCTGTGCTGAGTTACATGTGGCACACCTATCTGGAGCACAGGTGTCCTTTCTTACGCCACACTGGCCCCAATCACAATATCAGACTCCAAGTCTATACCACTGAACTGAGAACCATTGAAGATTCCTGTGGCAGCCCATTTCTTGGAGCCAGGTTCATGCTTGTGCTGAGGGTCTATGCCTGGTGTTCCACCACAGGCTCTACCAAAGGATGTTTGGGCCTCCTTAGTGACACTGTTCCCTAAGGAGACACACAATAGAATCAGTACACAGGCATTTATTTAGAGGGACCAAAAGCTCCTCAATTTGGAGGCAATCCTCTACTCTACTCAACAGGCAGGCACATTGTTAGCAGCTCACAAACAAAGCTGCTAAAGCGTTCAGGTTTTCACAGCCATTGTGCCCTCCAGAGCCATGCAAGCTTCCCGGGGCTTGGGTCCAAAGAAGAGAGCTTCTTACAGTAGAGCATAGTACTAGACTAGAGTAAGTTATGTCCTTTACCACTGGCTCTTCCTATTCCAAGGTCAAGTGTTCTGAATTCTTTCCTACAGGCAGCTTCCTTCCCCCTCAGCTTTGCTATTAGAAAAGTTCAGAGGTTGTTTTCTAACCCTAAGTTCCTGTCATCATGGTTCCAAGAGAGTTGTCACATTTAGTTATTTTTGTCTCTAGAGATTCTTAAGAACTGGACAAGCAGAATATTTTTATCCCTGAAAACTTGTCTATGCATACCTGAATTCACAATGAATGTGAAGTTCAGGGCATTATTAGAAGCTTAATACATAAAACTACTTGATGGGTCACACCTCTCCCCAAGAAGCACAGATATATTCAGCTTAGAAAATTATTAGCCTCTGTCAAACCTAAGGAAACAACAAAACTTCCCAAAACACTGTTAAAAACTGGCATGAGACTTTCTGGCCCTCTGGCTCTTAACAACCTTCCTACACACCCCTCCATGGTATCTCCCGAGCCTTGGGTACAGGTGTTGTGGATATATTAGGAGCAGGCACCCCATGATAAGCTGATCTCTGCATTTTGACCAGTTGTGGTTTTCCTTAAAGGTTTGTGTCTGATGCAAAGAGAAACTTCTGTGACGGTACATGAGAGCTACACCTGCCTGTGGGTGTAATGACAAGTTTCAGAGTACAGTTAGGAACTGCGCTGCCTAGTATGGTGGCAGGAGTTGGTTGACCTCTCTAGATCCATGATCTCACTAGTTCCACGGACTCCTGTGTATAACTTGTGTCATGTATAACTTGATTCAAGAAACACCTACTATCATGACAAACTGCTAATATAACAGATTCTGCTAAAATTTTGACTGCTTTGAAAAACTTCCCTCAGTTACTTGATATCATATGTGATTTGGATGCAAAACTCTAATCACTCATTAGTTGTAGCCTCTGATGGCTCCATAATTATGTCTTTTTGGTGTCTTTAGTTCATCTTTCAGAATAGACAAAACTACTATCTCAGTTGTTGGTTCATATTAGATGCTGTATATATGATAAATAGATGATGGGTGAATACATACATACATACATACATACATACTGCATACATACATTAAGAAAAGAGCAATATGAGATCCAAAATATGTGCGACTTTTCTATGTTGAAATATGGAAAGTTATTAAACTAACCAGCTAATAGTATAAAGAGAACAGGATTTTCAACTCACCCAATTCCCAATAGAGTTAATCTTAGTTCCCAATTTTATCTTCAGTCTGAGGTTGTGAAGTATGTTGTACTGGACCTCTCCCACAAAGCCACATCCTTCACCTTGTTCTCAGGTACATCTGAGCTGCTGTGGGTGGGGCTGGAGGCTGGAGAAGCAAGGCCAGGTGATGGGGGTACAATGCAGAGGCGGGTCTCTGTCACCTTTCCTTTTCCCTGCTGAACCCTGCAGAGAGTGTTGTCAGTGAAGTGTCGTGAACCCTCTGATTCACAGCTTTCTCATGTGGCTACACAATGCTCTAGTACCTTAATAAGATTCAGCTGAAAAGAGACTGCCTTCATCCACAAATTGAAAGAGAAAATCTGTTTGGATATTTCCAAGGGAGAGGGGGCAAACGTCTGAGTTTTCCTACAATTTTCTCCAACAAAGTTGTTTCTCTCTCTTAGCAGCTGTCTGCTTTATATGTTTACGGCAATGATCGAATCTTCGAGGGATTAGAAAGAGTAGTAATGAACAGATAATTACACTTTACATTCCTGGGATTGAAGTCCAAATGGGATCCAACCCAAGTGACATTTTTAAAATGAAATTTTTGTAAGTATAAGTTAAACATTATCTTCGTTTTTGTCTATTGAGTCGTTCCTGTATGTAGCCTAGGCTGGCCTTAAACTCTGTCTACCTGCCTCAGCCTTCCAAATACTGGGTGTGCATCACCAAGCTTGACTTTTTTTTATCTTCTTACTATTTCAGAAATTTTATTAAATGCTTATGTGATTTGAATGCAATGAATTTCCCACTAGCCCTGGTTTGAATACTTGGCCCCAGCTGGCGATACAGCTTGAAAATGTTGTGGAACCTTTAGGTACTGGAGAAAGGTCACTGGGACATACCTTGAAGTCATGCAGCTTAGCCACATTTCTATCCCCTCTTTTCCTCCTGACTGACTGCACAGGCAACATAACCAATCGCCTCATGCTCCTGCAGCCAGGCCCTCCACACTAGGATGAACTAAAGCCCTCTTGACCCAAGAGCCCAATCTCTCAAATAAAAAAAAAAAATCTTTCCTTGAGTTTGGTTGCTTGGTTAAGTGTTTTATCACAGGATGGAAAAAAGCAACTAATACGTTTTTTGTTTGTTTGTTTGTTTTTTTGAGACAGGGTTTTTCTGTGTAGTTTTGGTGACTGTCCTGGATCTCACTCTGTAGACCAGGCTGGCCTCAAACTCACAGAGATCCACCTGGCTCTGCCTCCCAAGTGCTGGGATTAAAGGCATGCACCACCACCGCCTGGCTCAACTAATACTTTTAAACTTTAACTTTTATTCAGATATAATGTACATACACTAAAAAGGTAAAGATTTAATTATATGAATTTGATGAGTCCATAAAACTATCAAAATAAGGCACACAATATGCCTATAAACACACACAGAGTTCTCTGTCCCCTTCCTATCAATTAATTATTCATCTGTAGGAGGTTCTTTTTTATTTCTGACACCTTATTTTAACTTTGTCTTCTCCTATCTCAACGTGGAATATAGAATATAGTGCATATTTTTTTTAAACTTGGCTCTTTTTGTTCAATATAATGGCTTAGAGATCCACCTATTTGTTTTATCAATAAGCACAACAGTTTATTCTGTTGATGGAGTGAGCTGTCATCAAAAAAGCTGGTGTGTATTTTCTTGCAGAAGCATTTTTTTGTGAACACATACCTCCCAGTCTCTTGGGTAAATACCAAGGAGTGATATTGGTGGGGCATAAGGAACATGTCTATTTCACTTTTAAATAAAACCCAACAAACAGTAGTTCAAAGTGATTTTCCCATTTCACGCTTCTTTCAGCAATGCACAGACATTCCAGTGCTTCATATCCAGGCTAGGTGAATGGTCCTGACTGACGACCAGGA